AAAAAAAAAAAAAAAAAAAAAAAAAAAAAAAAAAAAAAAAAAAAAAAAAAAAAAAAAAAAAAAAAAAAAAAACTTTTAAAGGTCCAGCTTTTAAATTAAAAAGTCAAACTTACTCTAAAATATATGAATTCCAAATACAAGCTCCTATTTCATTTTGAATAACTTTATTGAGAACATTTTGCAAATTAGATTTTACAATTTAACATTTTACAATTAGAAATTTTATCTGTTATTACATAAGCTGCAAACGTTTCAAAAACACTACAGAAAATCTTTTATTTCTTTGGGTTTTTCTGTTCCATGCTGAGCTCCTGAGATATATTTTTTCTTTCAGGTTCATTTTCATCTTCCTGTGAAATAAATTTTAGAAAACATTAAAATATAAACTTTAGGGCATTTATCAGCTATACCTAACACATTTTAACTGTATCTGTAGAACTATGAACTACTATGATTCCAGTAATCCTAAACACGAATGATAAAATTACATAACATTTAAGTATTTACAGGTTTTGTTTTATAGTACACATTAAAATTTGCTATATGTTTTTAAAAACAACCAATTTTATCAATGCCCTAAAAATTACTTTGGAAACATTTGCCACTGAAAAGTGTTCTTTGCAGGGGATGAAACAGATATTTTTACTTCACTGCTTTATAAAAAACAATGAATTTAATTTCAAAGACACTTCATGTGCTCCAGCATGGCATTTTTTGTCCCATCTACTATATTTTCTTGATAGCTGTGCCAATTTTCCAATTACTGGTACCACCATATGTTATCTGAAGATCAGTGAGGTCTAAAATAGGAAGCACGTGCATGTCAGGCTGTAGAATGCTTACAATCTTCTACAGTTTCGATTCTAAGTGGTGGCCTCATAATTCATAGCAGGTTCCTGTGGAACATGGTGAATAGATGAAGTGACATCATAATGTCTGCTTCCACAGAAATGAAGTGCATCTTGTGTTCAATATTAAATGGTAACCTTCAAAGTATAAATAATGAGAGTCAGGAAAATTATTTCATCTTACAATTTATAACCCATTTCATCAGACATGTTCCTTCAACAATACCCAATTGCAAAACAGTCTTATTTTCCTAATATTTCTGATTTATCACATAAGATTATTTACTTCTATTAACTGGCATAAAGGTACTCATTCTTTTCTGAGTTAATTAAAGCATAAACATCAATTTCTTAAGTATTTCTAGACAACAGTAATAATTATCAGTATCATCAAACATACCACTCTGTACCTAATGAAACCAAATTAAATAATTGAATTAAATAATTGTTGAGCCCTACTTCATGAATTGACTTATTAAGTAAGAGCAAACCAAAGTATACATATTAGTTTTCTATGACAAACTACACACTTGCCAGTAACCATTAAGGTGAAAGAAAAAAACTTCTTTTATATACTGTCTCTCTAAACTCAACAGAATCTGTGATGTAGACTTTGTTAAGACTGGGAAAGTAGAGAAATTATTAAATATTACCAACCGATCTGAATCATTATAGATATGCACAACACCAAGAATGGGGTTTTGAATATCATTTTGGCAATGTAACTTTGATACGTTTTTCCAAGTATGATGACCATTTTGTGTCATTTCATTTTTTCCCTATTTTATCTCCAGTAAATAGATATATTCAATTAAGTTTGACCCTTGAAAATTTATAAATGAACACGTGGTTTCCACTTTTAGACAAAGTTTCCTAGAGATTACATTTTAACTACATTCCAATAAAAAGTAAAATAAAAAGTCCTACCATCTAACAGGACATACTTAGTATACAGTTGCAGTCCAATCAATGTTTTCTGAACTATGTGAAACAGTGGAATAATGAATGAATAAAAGGCATGCCTGCATTATTACATAATTTGGAAAAGCATAATGTTGTTCTTAGTTAACTATAGTAAGTTAAGATTGCTAGTACTCACACTTCTAGCAATCTTGACTTACTATAACAGCATTGAAAATAAAACAAGCCAAAATGTTTGAAGCAACTTGAGCCAAAATAGCAATTATCAAGCTCATGTCCTTTAATTTATAAGGGAATGATGGAGCCTTTATCACACTAACAGTCTACTAAGTTTCTGCACCACATAACTTCCTGGTTTAACAAGCTTGGTTTATCTAGTTTTCTCTAGCGACCTTCAACACTGCACTAAGTCAAAACAGAAATGTAAAGACTTAATAACCCCGAGGACTAGGAAGTACTTAAATACTTTGCTTTCATGTTTAACTATGTATACGAGCTACTGGAACACAGTTAAGTGAAATAAAAATGTGCAACTTCCATTAATTTGAGTATGTTTTAATATATGTACAAGTGTTGATCGACTTACGACCTATGCAACTTATGACCATTCGACTTGATGACCACAATCGCTAGCCACGACTGCTCCGCTGTAGATTTTTGGAAACACTACAATATTTTGATGTGTATCAAGAATATCGCTACCGCCTGGGAGGCTGTGATGACAAAGTGCATGAATGGCATCTGGAAAAATTGTGTTAAGCACTATGTTAACGATTTTGACGGATTTGACAGTGAACATGAACTTGAAACGATTCGGGAAAAAATAGTAAAACTTGCTAAAGATCTTTCTTTGGAGTGTGAAATGGAAGATGTCAAAGAGTTGCTAGACAATCCAGAGAACTTACAAATGAAGAGCTAATCGAACTGGAAGAAGAAAGAGTGGCGGAAGAAGAAGAGAAGCAGAGAAAGAAGAGCAGGAGTCAGAAAGATAGTTCACCACTAAGGGATTATCAGGTGGTTTATCTTTACTGAATAAACTTCTTATACGCTTCGAAGCAATGGACCCAAACATCGAACGATTTGCAAGGATTGAACGGATGGCACACGATGTGTTTCGTCCGTATCATGAAATTTATGAAGAAAAAAAGAAACATACAATTCAGACAAAGCTCACCATGTTTATGAAAAAACCAATTCCGGTAACCACAACTGCTGCCTCAGATGACATCAACAATCCACAGCCAAGCACCAGTGACCAATAAAATGTTTTGTATATGTTTATATATTTTGATATGTTTTGCAATTGGGAAAATGTTTCCTATGGTATTTTTTACAACTGTATTTTGTATTTTTGTATGCATCTATATTTTGTAATTTTGTATGTTTTGCAAATATTAAACCAGTTGTACTGGTAATGCAGTGTTTTACTTAAACCTGAAGAATGTAAAAATAAGAAACAAAATGGTGTAGAGATGATACAAATGGCATAAAATGAACAAAGAAAATTATGATATATAACAATGAAAGAGAATTATGATAAAATATGACTTAAAGATTTTTATAGCATCATTTCACAGTACTGTACATATAGCCTACTCAACTTACGACCAAATCGTGTTATGGCCGGTCTATCGGAACCAATTGTGGTCGTAAGTCGAGCACTAGCTGTATAAGATATATATAGATATGCCAGTTAAGTAACATTCTTAATATAATGTTGGTCTTTTGTTGCTGAATTTTTCTTAGTCATAAAGTGTAGTTTATAAATGCATGCCTTCTAAGACTGCCTGCTGCTCAGGACAGGTAAATCACTTTCACACCTTTCTTTATGTTGAGGATTTGTCTTAAAATATCTTGCCTTTTGTGCTAAGTCACTTTTATAACAAATAAGAGCCAATCGCTTTCTTCCTTTTACAAGGATAGCTGTGACCCAGATGCAGAAAATGATTACGAAGGGGCAAAAAAGGCATTCAACTCTAATTGCTACAGTATAATACTAAAATTGCTGTAACATCATCAAAATAATGGTAATAGATTTTATCATAAATAAAAGCATTAAAATTTGATCTAATAAAGCACTACGGAAGTCTTTTTAGAAGTGCTAATTTGTGTTTTTTAACACAATTTTTGAAAGAACTTTACATGCAGTTCCAGATAAATCATTAAAGTCACTTAGCAAATCAAGTATCATTGACAAATGACTGGATAATAAATAAAATTGCAAAGGAAGCTTTTTACCAAAGCATTTCTTTACTACTGGATATTACAGGCAAGCAAAAATTTCTTCTGATATATAGCAGAATTTTCCTTCTCTCTGCTGAGATAAGACACCTGTTTGTTTCCCAATGAAAGAAGACCCTAGCTACAAGGATCATTTTCTTAGTGACAACCCTGATAAGTTTGACATTTGTTTCATGAAATGTTCTGAAACAGTCATGAAGAAAATGTACTCTTTGAGGGTACTGGAAAGCAGACAGGCTTACCTCTTAATGTTTAAACTTGTTAATTCATACTCTAAAAAACACATTGACTGTAACAACCTTGTAGATCTGCTAGTTACAAGTGGAATTTCAAGAATGTGCACTCAATTAACAGTAACACCCATAATATCAAATAACAAAAATTGTGCCTTAGCCTTGCTCTTTCTATGTTAACAGAGCTGCAGTGAGAATGGTAATTTCTAGGCACAGATGGACCATGTAATAATGGCCTGATACTCCAGGTGGCAATATTAGACTAAGAGTTATTCTAATAGCGAAATTAAGTAAAAAAACACTGCCATGTTTATCTTATCACTAAATAAAACTTGCAAGATTTTGTTTAAATGTTAGCTTGCACTATCAATTTGTGATAGAGGAGCCCCTCTGTTTTTATTTATAAATGCGACTTAGTTCTACATCACAGTTCAAAGCATTGATGCCAATTAATAAAACCTATCCATTCTTTTCCCTCCTCTTAGGAGGTAATCAACTCCTAGCAATGGCTAACTATTTTAGCATCTGGAATTTATATCACTCAGGTAATAACTGAATACAAATTATACTCTATGAATACAGATAACTTTATATTTACTTCGTAGACTGCCAAGTTTGAAAGATTTCTTAAAATCTTATAATCCTTTATATAAAAGGATTGCACAAAGGGGCAACTCTCCCTATTACTTATTTATATCTTTATAGATGTTAATGTAAGTACCTTTATAATGGAGAAACATGGCAAACATCACCTTAACCAAACAGTCAAGGTTAATATTCCCAATAATATATATTAATACCCTGAAGTGATATACTAAAAAGGGCACATCACCTCTGGTTTGTGGTATTTTTTCCAATAGTGTATAACCTAATTCTAAGTATGGGCAAACATCAGATAAACGCTCTATAAAATAAGTGAACAGTAGTGTTCAAAAGTGTCAAGGTCAGCTGGGCATGGTGGCTCATGTCTGTAATTCTAGCACTTTGGGAGGCCGAGGCAGGATAATGATGAGGTCAAGAGATTGAGATCATCCTAGCCAACATTGTGAAACCCAGTCTCAACTAAGAATACAAAAATTAGTTGGGCATGGTGGTATGCACCTGTAA